GAAACTACCAGCTGCTCCGCGGGAGAAAGATGAGGCTTTCTACTCCCGTAAAGATTTACACCCTCGGAAACCCTGTACAGGGTCGCTATGAGTCGGTTCAGACTCCACGGCACATAACAACAACAACAACATACAGTGTCACTATGAGTCGGAATTGACTCGATAGTACTTAACAACAACAACGTGATGGCTGGAACTGCAGGTGCATTGGCAGGCCCAGACCAAATGATTTTGAGGGTGCTTCGCTAAAAGACAGGAATCGATAACTTGAGTTCCACCTCTAGGCCATTCTTTAGTGACTCAATTAAATCAAGATACCTTATCACTAAGTCTCAACTTCCTCATGCATAAAACAAGACAGTTCAACTAGCCTATTTGAAGCATGGTTAACCTAAGTTACACTTACGCAGGCACATGAAAGTAGGACGGAAGCGGAAATGAAGTGAATTTTTAGATAAAACCTCACAGCCAGCAGTACAAGTCAACTGAAACTGGATCCACCCCGCCCCACCCCGCCCCGCCACCCGACACGCACACTTACAAGTACACACCAGCTGGGCAACTCTGAAACTGATTCATACAGATACCAGGCATACTTCCCTAAGAAACCTTGGCCGTCTTCTCAGAGTGTGAAAACGCAAGCATTGCCACCTGCTCAACCTCATATTCACATGTTCCAAGTCAGGGTTTAAAAAACAGATCATATTAAAAAAGGTCTGAGGCAATATTTCAAAGCTAAGATAACACCTTAATTTTAATGAAGCCAAGATTTCAATAACTCTTGTAGAGTCACTTAAAAGGCAAACTGATGGGAAGAAAAGAAAAAGATTATGTTAGCAAATTAAGACCATTCTTTGACTGTTAATTGAGCCCTTTTGTGCCTTCTCCTGGCCTCATACAGCCCTAGTGGAGTCCTGGTGTGGCGCTGTGGGTTAATGCACTGGACTGCAAAGTCGGTGTGAACCACAAGGTCAGCAGCGGTTGAAGCTCGGCAGTTCAAACTCACCAACTGCTCCTTGGAAACCCTATATAGGGTCGCTATGGGTCGGAACCAACTCGATGACACTTACCAACAAGTAGCGTAGTGGATTTCAAGCTGGGCTCCTAGCCACAAGGTTAACAATTTGAATTTATCAGTTGCTCTGTAGGAGAAAGATGAGGCTTTCTGCTCCAGCAAGGATTTAC